GGCCGCGCGGGGCCGGGGAGCACCCGCGTGCGTGGGGAGGGGGCGGGCGGCGAGCGCCACCCACTGGGGCACCCCGGGGTGGGGTGGAGGGACCCCTGTGTGGCAGCGGGCCCAGGAGTCCGGGGGGGCCAAGGCATCCGGGCGGGGACACCCACAGGTGTGTGGGGGTTGGGGACGCCCATGGGGACAGGGACACCCACCTCCATGGCGCGCACCCACATGCAGAGCGAGCAGGCGGCGTGGGGCAGGGGCGCGGGGCAGGGGGTGTTGGTGACACCCGTGGGGACAGGGTTGGTGACACCCGTGGGGACGGGGTTGGGGACACCCTTGGGGACAGGGACACCCACCTCCATGGCGCGCACCCACATGCAGAGCGAGCAGGCGGCGCGGGGCAGGGGCGCGGGGCAGGGGGTGTTGGTGACACCCGTGGGGACAGGGTTGGTGACACCCGTGGGGACGGGGTTGGGGATACCCTTGGGGACAGGGACACCCACCTCCATGGCGCGCACCCACATGCAGAGCGAGCAGGCGGCGCGGGGCAGGGGGCAGGGGTGGGTGTTGGTGACACCCATGGGGACAGGGTTGGGGACACCCATGGGGACAGGGCAGGGGTTGGTGACACCCACCTCCATGGCGCGCACCCACATGCAGAGCGAGCAGGCGGCGCGGGGCAGGGGACAGGGCAGGGGGTGTTGGTGACACCCCTGGGGACGGGGCAGGGGGTGTTGGTGACACCCGTGGGGACGGTGTTGGTGACACCCCTGGGGACGGCGTTGGGGACACCCACCTCCATGGCGCGCACCCACATGCAGAGCGAGCAGGCGGCGCGCGCCACCCTGCCCACCACCTCGGGCTGGAAGTCGGGCTGGGCGCAGTAGGCGCCCACGCGCCGCAGCACCCGCTCGGGGATGTTGTCCCGGTCCAGGTTCAGCAGCTGCTTGATGAAGTTGGGCTCACCTGCGGGGGGGGGGGGGGGGGGGGGGGGGGGGGGGGGGGGGGCACATCTGGGTCCCTTGCCACAAGCCCCGCCCCCTCTCCACAAGCCCCGCCCATTCTCCTCAAGCCCTGCCCCCTCACCCTAAGCCCAACCTGCCTGGGGGTGTGGGGGGGGTTATTAGCCCTGGCCCAGGTGGGCTGCATGCCCCGCCCCTCTCCATTAGGCCCCGCCCCTCTCCACCACGCCCTGCACACCTCAAGCAGCAGCCTCAGCCCGCCTGGGCTGCATGCCCCGCCCCCCAGTAACGGTCCCCGCGCCCGCATAACGG